TCGGGCCTAGACCCTTCAGAAAATTTTCTGAAGAAGGGCCTAGGCCTGAAACACCAGCTTTCCTGCTCCTCTGATGCTGCTTGGCCTGCTGTGTTCATCCAGCTCTACACCTTGTTATCACAAGTATGTCTAGTGCAATTTTTATTTTCCTTGACCGATTTTGTTTGTACACTGTGAATTTTTCTATTGTTTACTTTTCTGATTGTTGGAATGTTTGTCGGTGAGGGTGTATGGGAAACAGTTTTCTAAAGTTCAGTGTTTAGTTTGAGCGCAGGAGCCTGTGAATGAAGGGGCCAGCAATCAGGTGCAGATCGATGGAGGAACCAATTTTCGGGGAATCCTTGTGAAAGGAGTTGGATGGAACATCACAATGATGTGAAGGAAAAAGACAAACCTACAAACAATCAGTTCTTGAAACGTTCTTTTTTTCCCAGAAGCTTGCTGAAGGACAAAGTTGTTACACTGTATAGATTTGGTCTGTTACAAAAGCACTGATATAAATGAGAGTCTGAAAAATTGCTCCCCACATAAGTCCTTGTTTGACTCCAACAAGCAGTATCACCATCATCACCAAATTCAAGCTGTGTTTCGTGCTGTGTGCATGAGTAATGCAGCATATAATTGCATCTTCTTAGACAGTCCAGTATGAGAGGGGCTGATGTGCAAGCGTACGTTAACCCTTTAGAGGCAGCCACTGGTAGCCACTTTGCCGGTCTTTGCACCGGCATTGGGAGAGCAAATGAACACGTGCCAAAGCTGAACTGTCGCCAGAACTCAATTGAAGTAAGTCGTTAAAAATTCTTTGCTGATTCTCGCTGTGACTGGGTTGCAACGGGGTATGTAGGCCCCAGTCATGGAGGGCTGTAACCCATTCCGTACATTTTGCGGCATAAATGGAGACAGGCCATGTGTGTTTATGTATGCGTGTGCCTAACAGCACGGCAAGCTGAAGCTCCTCAGCGTCCTTGTTACTACCTGAGGTACCTGCTGACAAGAGGCTTTGTAATAATGTGATTTCACCCCCGCACCAACCACCTTTCCCATTCCCTGTTCCCAACCCAATCCAGACACTGTGAGAGATGTCTGCAGGATCAAAGCAGCAGCGGTGAACCCCTTTTTGGTCTTTTGTGAACATTTTGGGGTGGAGGGTAATTTCTTTGAAAGCAAAACCTGGAAACGACAAAGGTTATGGGTGTCAGGGAGCTTTCAGGGATTGTGTAAATTTCACGTTTTGGAAGGCAGTGTTTACTGTTTTGTGAAAAACTCTTGAAATGTGTTTAGTTCCTTGAACAAACTCCATGCACTCTTGTGCAACATGAAGAACTGAGTCAATGCTGTGTCTCTCTGACCTTGGGAAGGTTCAACGTGCTACTTCTTTAGGGCTTTTTGTTGATAATGATTCATTCATTGCAGATAATATTCAACAGTCTGTTCAGGCGTGTTTGTGTCAGGCATCCCTCTGGAGCAAAGGGCATTGAATCTGGACTCCTGCGCTCAGAGGTAGGGACACAGCCACTGCATCGCAAGAGACCTCATAATTCCTTACCACATTAGAATTCCCGTTTGGAATATTTTAATGCGTCAGTTGGACGGGTTGAAATGAGTTAAAATAATTCAGCCACAAATTTAACACCGAATTTAATCGGTGCTCAGGATTTTGAGAATGACCTGCAGGTTGGTGGGGGGATCTCAAGGTGACAAATTGAGAAGAGACCTATCTGCAGGATTTGGGGGTTGCCCACCAACCTGCCTGGTAACCTCTCATTTCTGAGGGGAAACACGGACAGCAACGGTGAAAACTACAACATTGCATATGTTACGCTGAAAATGCACAGCCGGGTTTGTGCATTCCACCGAGAGCTGTTCCTTCCCCCTGCGGTCAAGTCTGTGGTTTCTTGACACTGGATGCACTTCCCATTTCTGAGTGTCGACCCTAGTTTATCCAAGTTATTCCCTCCTTGAGGTGGGAATAACAGAATTGTTGGAGCAGCTTTTTCTCGCTACCTGCAGTCTTTCCTGATATCTTATTCTGCTCAGTGAAGCCGGGACTGACTTCAGTGCTGTATAGTCACCCACCAGAATGTTCCAAGGACCCTGTGCTTTATTATTCACTGCTGCGGCAACATACTACAACCTGCACTGCATGTCTTTTAGCTCGATGTTACTTAGACTGGCAGGATTTAAACTCATTCCAGGGCCCTGATCATCAACAACTCCTTACAAAAAGGGTGGCATCAAACTTACACAAAATCTCAAAGCTGCAACGAACTCATCCAAATTAGTTGCAAATTTCTTGATGAGTTGCCAGCTTAAAATCAAGATGGTCTAACACAGCAAAATTTTTGGGATGCCCCAGTTGATATGA